GACAGTTTTATAAGCAGGTCGGTCTTCATTGTCTATTGTACTATGTTAATATCCCAAGATCTGCACCATAAAAAAATAAAAGAACATTTGACATACCCTCGTAAAGTGTCTTGGCCTCTTCTTCTCACTCTGTTTGCTGGCTGTCTTTCCTCATAGCCTGAAAATCTGTCTGTCTGCAAGTCCCCGTCATATTGACACTGGGCTTGTTCCACATGCAAAAGTGCTGTACATCCCAGCATGAATTTGGCCAGCCATAATACCCCCATGATGCAATTCCTTGATTCCCCTGGCTTTCCCGAAAGCCTCTTCCAGCTGGAGGGCCCTTGTAGCCCTCTTTGAGGATAGACTGTGGCAGTAACCTCTGAAAGCCAAGCTGCTGTCTCGATGTTCCCCTTCTGAAGCTAGAAGCAGACAAAGGATGGAAGGGAGGAAAGACAAGTGTTCGTAAAAACTTTGACATTTTTTAAAATAATCATTCATCCCAGGCTGTCCCTCCCTGGTGTTAATACAGTGAGATCATATAATCACACTTAGCTTGGCTCCCCATGCAGAATCCAGCCAACTAGCTTACACACACAGTCCTCACAAAGACATTGCCAAAGAATTCCTTTCCCAAAACTTGGAAAATAACAGAGGCTGCTCCTAGAAGTCTATACAGAGGAACTGCTTTTCTTCTCTCCACTCTGTTCTTCTGAACTGGCAGAGTTTTTGTAGTGCAACAGAAATGCAAAGAGTGCCTAAACTGTGCAGTAAACATGACTGAAGACTAGAGGTGGGTTTGGCTTGTGCTGAACTATGGAACCAAATTGTGACAGTAATTTCTGACTGCAGTTCTGGGCAGCAACATAAGAGCTACACTATGGAACCAGTGGCAATATTGCAATGACAATGGCTTCTTGGTGAAGGACTGTCCTAGTATAGGCAGACCACATATGCCACTCAGAGATGGAACAGGAGCTGGGGAATGTAGACAAGGAGAGCCCTAAAAACAACCTTTCCCATTCCTGGTATTTCCAGCTGGTAGAGGGAGGCTCCTTTAAGGGGTAGTCAGTAAGCATGGGGTGGGGACTCTGGGAATGGTGAAGGGGAAAGTTGAGTGAGGGTAGCGAGATCGATAGGCACTAAGGTGCAGCTACAGGAAGAGGAGGAACATGGCATATTCTTTTTTTTTGCTTGGTGAGAGAGTACAAGACCTTTGGGCAAGGGAAGAGGCCAGGTATGGTTGGGAACTTGAACCTCTTGTGTTAAGCCAACAGGCAGGGTGATACAGATATAGAGCCTCTGGACTGCTATAGGCCTTGGGGAGGCCTGGGAGCTTTCACATAAAAGGGTAAGGAGCAGGAGCACGGAGGCTTTGTGGGAAAGGTGAATGGTTGTGCCATAGTATGAGGCAGGCAACAAAAGATTCTGGGCATTCCTTAATGCCATCTTTTTGGCTGCTGCACTGAGTGAGCATCAGTAGCTTGGGCCCTGCAGAGATGAGGGCAAAGCTATTCCAAGAGGCTGGTGTCAACACTGCATCTAACCTCAGGCTCAGGGCAACGGCCAAGTATCATTGTCCAGCAAGCCCAGGCAGAGAAAAATGGGAGTTAAGCTTGCAGCTTTCTCCAAAATACACAACAGGGGCCACCAGAGACTTCTTGCTACAATCAGCTCGTCATGGATCAGTTTTAGTGACTGAAGCAAAAATCAAAGCCAGAGACCTTCCAAGCAGAGGCCTAGGGATTGACTCTTGCTCCCAAGGACAGCCCACACAGTGGGGAGAGGGAACTTGGTGCCTCACTGTTGCAGCTCTTGGCCCAGGGGAGGGGGGTGGGGGGGATTCAAGTTGTGGCCCTGTGGACCAGGCTGTGTTGCAGTAAAGATTCATGTCTCTGAAGAGGGAATGTAGCCTGTACTGGGGGCCACAGTGGGGAAAGCCCAGAGATCTCCAGATCATTTGTATTTCAGGTTCAAAGGGATTTTGCCCAGCCCTTTCTCTTTAGCAATGTGGACTCAGTTATGTGGGACTTTGATCTCAGGCCTGCAGGGTGCAAGGAGTGCCAGCCCAAGCAGGAGAAGCAAGGCTACCTGCCACGAATACAGCTGCAGGCAGGTAGCCATACTCCTGGCCCTCATAAGGAGAAGGGTGTGCAAACTGGGACTGATGCTTCTGGATACGGAGAGTGGGGCTCCTAGGGAAGATGCCCTGGACTTGTGATAAGGGTTCTGCCTGGGATGCAAAAGGGTGTTTTTGCAAAAGCAGGGATGTGGGCCTGGGGTCAGGGTAACGGTCCTGCTGGGACAGACAAAATTGCTGCAAATAATCATTACTTTGGACCTCCATGCCCACACCGTGCTTTGCCTTCCAGGCCCCCCATTGCCCCTCCTATTCTCAACCCCCCACCCCACACTGAGCAGACATTCAACCACTCTGCTGCAGCCCCTCTCCTCTCACCTCCCCCAGTCCTTCCAGGGAGCCAGAACTGTGAGCTGGGCCCTGGGAGAGCTTCAACTTCCAGTCTTCCTGGGGAGGGCCAGAAAGAGCCTTTCAGTCCAGACCCCCCCTCCCCCCAAGTCTGCTGCTACCCCCTCCCCTCCCCCAGATCAAAGTGTCTGCTCCTTCTGAGAGGCAGAGCCTCCAAGTATGCTCCTGCTGGGAGGAGTAGGGCCCCTGAGCCTCCCCTAAATGTCCCTCTTGCTCTCCCACAGCAGCAGTTTCCAATTCCAGCCCAGCCCCAAAGCAGACAAAAATCAACTCAGGGAAGGCAGAAAATGTGTTTGAACCATTCAGAAACTCACATCACCGGAGCAATATCCCTGTTGAGAATCTCTCAGCTCTTGAGGACATGCATTTTTCAGCCGCTAATATTTCAAAGGCAGTAAATGAGAAAGACAGAGAGTGGAAAGGAGCAGGCAGAGCTGGAAGCAGAGGCAAAAGGAGAGACAAAGAAACTCCCCTCCCTGCAGTGTCTTGCAAAACTCTGCTACACATGTCTCTCTGCTGAAGGCTAGGATATGGTTATTTCCAGCTAGACAAAAGAAGGTATGTTTTCAGAGATTTCAGAGTAAAACAAAAAACTTGTCAGAAAAAGCAGAGTTTTTATACTTTGAAAAGTTTTCACATTCTTGTGCAGTGATTTAAATTGCAGAGACCTTACAATGAAATTAGAATCACAACAGTGATCTATACAGAGACACATACCTTTGAAAGTGTTAAACACAACAGTCTTGCTAAAAGAATATGGAAAAGTCATTTACACCATCAGCAGAGAGTTAGAAGAAATAGCTCAAAATTATCTGCCGCTCTGAGAAATTCTATTAAAACACTCTTTGTAAGAAATCAGCATTGACAAAGGAAAAAAAGAACTAATCATCAACTCGGATCTAAAACTACTTGGCAGAGTTGATGGGAGCAGGGGAGATATAGCAATCTGTGTTATTAAGTGTCAGAGATTAAAAAGAACATATAATAAATAAATAATAAATTAAAAGAGGCATTCAAACAATTATGAAGTAGCATACTGATAAAGAGAAAAAAAAATCAGCTCTACAGGTCTGGATTTAGTCTGAATCTGTTTAAATACCTTCAGGTCCTGGAACTGGTGTTGTGCCCAGAGCTCCTTTGTTCAGTGGAGATCTGGGCAGAAAAGAAGGGAATAAAACCTTTACCCTGAAGGAAAGAAAAAAGGTACAGCCTAATCCAAATTGGACAGGGGGAGGGCCTTGCTGTGAGAGAAGGGGTGCAGGGGGAGTGGGAGTAACAGGAGGACAACCCTATTGCATTCTTGAGCCAAAAGTTTTTAACTTCAAGGGGGGCGGGGGGAGGAGGGGAGTTGGGTTTAGCAAGAGACATTTGAATGCAGACATGATTATCACCTAACCAGTCCTAGTGAACCTAGGACTGGCTCAATTCAGCTAATTACCCGTTTCAGTTCAACTGGATATACTGACTGCATGTCCCAACTTTAGGCTGGATCTGTAGGAGGCAGAAAGAAATTAAGAACAGCGACTTCACATCAAAAGATTTGGGGAGAAAAGAATGCATTCTCCTTTGGGGGTTGAGTTTTCACTCCTTTTTTGGAAAAAGTTGTTCCCATATCAAAGTGAGCAAAAGAAAGACTAAATAAGAGGTACTTTTTAACCAATTGTTTTATTGCAATTAACTGGCACTGATGTGGGGTAATTAGTGAAGGGTGAAATCATAATAAACCCCCAAAAGAACAGTTTTTGAGATCTGAAACAAGTTGGGGGGGAAACAAACAAACAAACAAACAGCATTTTGAAGTCATTAGACTTTTCTTACAGTCACACACTAGTTCATAGTCTGGTTTTGCTCTCCTGGTGCTTAATAATATGCTTCCTCTCCATCTTGTTTCAATAATTATTACTGATGTCTTTTCTTTAAATGAAAAAATAAAATGCACACGCACACAACCCTTCTTCCCCGCTGCTTTTATGTGTGCCTCTGCATGCCCGGGATTTTTCCAGGAAGTTGAAGCCACCAAACTGTGGAACAAGGGAATGCCAAAAATTTCACCAGAAAATCTGATACAGGCCAATTTCCAGGCCAAAAACATGTTGATAAGCTTCAGAAAAGCAGCTGGGCACTGGCTGCTTAACTGAATAGAATCAGAAGTAATCCTAAAGATCGTGTATGAAGCACACAAAGAAGTGATCAGACTTTTTGTTATCCTAAAGCACATTTGCTTCATTCCTCTGTTACCTTTTTACAGCCAGTATATAAAGGATTACATGCGAGCTTTGGGTCAATTCGCAGAGACATGAAGACAAACCTCAGGCTGAGAGTACCACTGTCAGCTCCTCTTCCCTTCTTCTGCCTCTCTTTGAAATGTCTTTGTTCTTCTCCCTCCCAATAATCAGCCCCCTGCTAGTTTTATAGAAGTTGAAATGATGCTCAGCCTAATTAACAGCAAACTTGTGTAGACAGTCTGAGAAAAGAGACCTAATTTTTGCAAACATCCAGTAATGGAGAATGTCATGGAATTTTGTACTGTCTACAAGTCTGCATGAATTTTTAGTGCTCAGCAGGAGCCTAGGCTTTTGTTGAGGGCCCTATCCCGTCGTTCTTACATCCCTGGAAGTTAATAGACGTTTGGCCTGAGTAAGAATTACACAATCGAGGCATAGGACAGTGATATATAAAAGCAGAGGCTCAAATAAATGTCACTCGTAGTTCAGAGCAAAGCAAATTGATGGCCTAGGAAACTCTCTATTCTATTTCAGTTTTTATACTGTGCTTATCACTATGATAGTTAAGGTCTAGATTTCTTTAAGTATTTAGGCATCTAAAAATACAACCGGCTGCTTAATTGGATTTTCAAAACACCTTAGATACCTATCTGCATCTTTTGTATATTAAAATGCCTTTCAAATTCAGGCCCACAGTCCTTGCATTAAGCAAAGTAAATGATACTTGGCACAAGTATTCTTTTTTCCTATTTTCCCTCCCTTTGCCTGGGGGAAAAATGCCAAAGGAACATTAATTGAATAATTATATAATGTATTTGTCATGCTGCTTAGACTGTATTTGTGCCTAAAAAGCTGGCGGTTTGGGTTAGTGAAGGTAGGTCAAAGGATAGTGCCTTGTGCTATGGTATAATGAGGCACTATGTGCTTTCCCTGTTAATTTACATCTAAGTGATCTGTAGGAACAAACATGTTTAATTCACATTTCTCTGCTATGAGTACTCCTCCTACTTTCTCTTCCAGGGACAGAAAGCGAGATGCAGCCCTACACACTGCTGGCACAGAAGGGAAACGCATTATTTTTCTTTACATTCCATTTTTGATGGGTAAGAAGTATTTTAATCCTTCTAACATATGCAAATCTCGATGTACACTATTGTTTTAGCTCTTTCCCTGTTTTTCCACAGCAAAAATTTTCAGCACAGCTGTATGTGATTATGTCACAATAAACACCAGGACATAGGCATGCCAGCAAGATGGCAGAGCCTCTTTCAGACTTCAGCCTGGCTCCCAAATACTTGTCACCAGCAGTGAGCTGCTACCACTTGGATATATTTGTCCAAATCCCCATCTGTTTCCCCTGGTAGATAGCTAGGCGGTTGGGTGAATTTTGGTTGTTTTTGTCTGCAGTGTTACACACCAAAATAACAGCTCCTTGGTTTAATTACACCCAGACACTGTGAGGAATGTAATTGGATACAAAAGTTTGTTATCCGCCTCTAGTATTTGTATCCAGCTTAAGTTTATACCAGGACTTGAGCTGCCCTTGGGGAGCGAACCGGAAGGTAATACCAACTTTCTCTTGAATCTTTTCCCTTTCTTTCAGGCAGCAGTGCTGGCAGGGGAGGAGTTGTATAATATGGGGGTCCCTGGTCCCAGGTAAAGCACTAAATAACACCACTGTCCACCAAAAAAAACCCAGCAAAGGAGTCAGATTTACCCGTAGTTAAAAGCATTTTCTAGGATTCCTCACTTCTGAGAAAACTTCACTCTTTTGAAACCCTGAACCATAGGCAGATTAATGCACAGCCCAGCTGTTGGTTTGGGCCCCCAGATGCCTGGAAGGCAGGCATAGAGGGAAGGGGGCGGGGGGCAGCTGGGTGCAGACAAAACTGGTGGCTGGGCTGGGTCAGGCACGCATGACATCAGGGGCCGTGGCTGCTGGGTACCGGGTGGGGTATGGGGTGCGACTGTGCCAGAGCCCTGGGAGCAGCTGGAGTCACCAGCGGTAGGGAGCAGATCCAGGTGCGGCTGGGACCTGCCGGCGGCAAGGCGGCCTCAGAACAGCCAGGTCCTGGCCTGGCCTGGCTGCAATCCTGCTTGTTGGCCAGGCATTGCTGTAATTGGACTGAGCCATGGTAGGACGAAGAGCCACACTCAGAGCTTGGTCTGTGCCTCACACACCCAGGGGGCAGGAGCTCCACACCCCTGGCACTGCCCAGCTGCGGGGCGATATTGTGCAGGGACATGCATGACCAGCCCTGGGCTCCAGCTCCAGGACCTGTGGGTGGGGGCAGCCATGGCTCCTGCCTAGGGCCTTGAGGGCAGCATGTCTCACTCCGGCTGCTGCTCCAACTGGGCCAGCTGGGGACAGAGCCCGCAGTTGCAGGGCAGGGCACGGGTCGGGGGGGCTTGAGCCTGGGCCCAGGGCCCCAGTGAATCTTAATCCGCCTCTGCCCTGAACAGTTAAAAATGTATCTGACACATGATTAAAATGGCAAGATTTATTTCAGAACTGGCCTTATGTCCTGTGTTGTCATGGATAGCCCATATCAAACTGCACGAATGAAATAGAAAATAACTCCTTTTAGTAGATTTTTGAACACCCCTAAACAGTAAATATATTTTTGTCCGTGCTATAAAATTTCTATTGTATAGTTAAAAACACCATAGAAAGAAGATAATTCACTCTTTAGGTCTTCACAGTTATTTCTATAGAAGTTTATCAAATTTCTATGAAATATTCTTGGTTTCATCCTTATTAAATTCTACTGAAATTTCCCTTAAGGACAGCTTTTCCTAAGTCAAACATATGGGTCAGAGTTCCACCTTCACAATCCATACTGAGTGCTGGAGGTCTGCTTCTTTACTAACAGGTTTGCTATCTCACATTTTTTGCTCATTAGTTGTGTCATTAAAAACTGTATTCCTCAACTTCCTTCCACTACTTCCTTCCTTCTATTAGGGAGACAGAGGGAAAGCTCTGTGACATATCACCAGGTCCCAGTTCTTCCTAGAATTATTTACCATGTCTGCAGTCAAATATGCAGATCTCAGATTGGCATAATCAGCCATATCAAGACTTACGGATGACTCTCCTATTTACTGGAAGACTTATCCTCATCATACTGAAAGGAGTAAACACATTGTTACAACTATGCGGGCCCCAAAAGATTATTCAATATTTAATCATTTTAATCAGCCTATACAATGTAGTTAATAATTATCACTTGAGCATTTTTATTGGCCTGAACAAATGAAACTATAACCCAGAAACATAATATTCCTGAGCAATACATGTCTATGTATTGAATTCTAACTTTTTATCACCTCAGTTGCATGGGCGTATAAGTGCCATAATGCAAAACTGCTATGTTTCATTTCCATTTCTGATTTGGCCATTTCAGAGGGACAGTGATTCGTTTCAGTGTTTCGGATCACTGTTCCATTTTGAATTGGTTGAATCTTGGATGATGGTGTCGCTGTGGACATAGTCTTTCTAGACTTTAAGAAGGCCTTTGACACTGTTTCTCACCCCATCCTCATCAATAAATTAAGTGACTGCGGCATTGATGCCTGCACAGTTGGATGGGTAAAAAATTGGCTGATGGGGCGCACCCACAGAGTAGTGTGGACAGTGGGTGAGATGTGAGCAGTGGGGTACCCCAGGGCTCGGTCCTCGGGCCCGCACTGTTTAACATCTTCATCAGCGACTTGGACGAGGGGGTGGAAAGCACGCTGTCCAAGTTTGCTGATGACACTGAGATGTGGGGCGAGGTGGACACACTTGAAGGGAGAGAGAGGCTGCAACTCGATTTAGACAGACTACAAAAGTGGGCAGATGAGAATAGGATGGGGTTCAACGTAGACAAATGCAGGGTGCTGCACCTTGGGAGAAGGAATCCACAGCATACATACAGGCTGGGGAGTTCCCTTCTTGAAAGCACAGAGGCAGAAAGGGATCTCGGA